TTACTTTACTTACTTTTAATTTTACTTCCCTATTTACTATGTATATATATATATATATATATATATATTTTTTTTTTTACTTCTATTTACCAATTAGTTAAGTTACCAACCACTTCAAGCCGAAAAACGTTCCCCGATATTACCTCGAAGTAGAAAGATGTTAGGTGAGGGCCCGATGCGATCTGACACTACCAGCCGTTGTGATTTCGTGGAAAAGTCAACACTACGACCTGAACTTATTGTTCCGTGCGACAATCTTCGAAGCGCTGATACACCGATCGATGATAAAACTACGACGAAATTATCGTATGTGAAACCAGGCCCGGTAGAATTAGTTCAGAGTTTTAAACCTGTTATTCAATACAAAAGGTACATTAACAATGTCTTTTATCTATTAGCCAACATTATATATTGCAACATATTGTGCTACGATTCTTCGAATTAATAAGCATTTTTTTCTACGTTGTTATCTTTTAGGTTCGCTGAAAAGGTTGAATATGATACTGTAAACAAACTATCCTATCAACCTTGGACTCCGCTTCCTAAAGAATTCATACCTTGGGCATCTAAGGACAAATATCAACGGCCTACGGATCCAATGTGTACTGATACTATTTATCAAGTTAGTTATCCTGCACCTGGATACTATGAAGATACATGTATACCTGAATGCGATTGCTTGCATAAAGATGATAATAATCTGTTGGCCGAGGATTGTTCAAAATAAGTAAAATATTAGCAATCTTTCAGATCATGAAACTTTTGTATAACTTTTTTGTTACAAGCTTATGTTTCACAACAAGCTATTTATTTCTACCTTATAATATTTATAATAAATATTTAATTGTCAAAATTTAAACCGAAACACGATTTTAGGAATTAAATTAAAAATCTATTTTATTCTATACGAACACATCTTATATATTTTACATTTATATAATAATTATTGTGTAGATGAATAAAGATAATAATAACGTATATCTTTTACAAACAGTAAGATTGTTCTTGATAATAAAATAAACTCTAATTTTTAGATAAAAGATAATAGACAATAGACTTGAATAGAATAAACAATATTAACGTTACAATTAGAAGTTTACTTATCTTTACATACATTCATACATATACATGTACGTACACACACGCATATACATGGTCAGTATACATACATGCATTCATACATACATGAATCCATACGCGGTTACACACACATATATAATATATATATATATATATATATATATATATATATATATTATATAATATTATATTATATATAGTAAATATAATGAGGATAACGATGTCTTCAAATCTATCCAAAATGAAATCTAATGTACGTCGATGATTTATATACGCGCAACAATTAATTTTCAATAGATTACATAAATTACAGGGGAGGGTATACAATTATTAGAAAATGAATAACTATATATTTTTAATTAGCGATAAGAATTTCTTATGTTTAGAAATCTAATAAATTTATCGAAAATTTTATTTCGATAAAATACATATTTTTTTTTTCGCCGCATTAAAAATATTACATCATCAAATAGACTTTGATCTTTCAAATATCTTTAAACAAGTAACGTTTAAATATACAAAATCTTTACGGTAGAAAATACATCATTTCTTATTAAAACGAATGAGTCAAACGAAGAAAAAAAATATTCATACCAAAAATACATGCAACTTGTATTAAGAGTTTCAAAAAATATAACAAGCAGAAATTTGAAGATTTTAAGGCACATATTTAGGTCACACGAATTGCATGTTATATATATTCTATATTAACGTTGCACAAGCCCCGTTTCTCATTTCAATATTCTAGATTATTGTTAAATTAAAATTCTAATTTTCTGTAAATTCTCTATTTACATAAATGGACGTGAAAATGATTGTCTGTATTTATATATATTTTATATTTTGCGATTATTATAATTCTACTCTCCGTTGATATCTAGATCTCATCGTTACCCATTCATCATTTTCCTCTTTATATCTTTTTTTTTTAATGAGTAACCAAAAATTTTGGTAGGCCTTTATATAATTACAGGTAATTGTTAGACACAAAAAGGAGAGTACAATATTTGTTAATGTTATTACGTTTCTAAAAGAAATATTATTATTTTATAAAAAAATATAGTTTTTAAAATTGCAGACTATGCAACAATCAAAGTTAATATACTATATGTTTTTTTTTTGTATATTATATTTGCACTGTGATAGAATATTATGATATTTTTTTTCAAATAAAATCTAAATAATAAAACAAAATCAATTTTTTCAATCATATATGTCAAATATTTGATTCGTTCAATTTCATTTAATTGAATATTTAAATATTAAATGACATTATTATTACGTAATAAATATTTTATTCAAACTAAAAGTATTCAATTTATAAAGCGACATATGAATTACTCATAATATATATAAATGCTATCAATTGCTATCATATTTGTTTGTAAAACTAAATAACTAAATAGCTTTTATAAAAGTTATTTTCATTTACATTGTATATACAGGATGGAACATATAATTGAAATTATTTCAATTATTCCATAAATAATGATTTTAATGATTTTATTCAAAAAAAGAAACTTCTTCATATATTTCCTTTCAGATAAGGGAATTTATTACAAAAAAATTAATCAGTATATATTAATATTATAATATTAAAATAATATTCCCTTAGAAAACATTCAATTCTTATCTGAAATAATTTTCATTAAGATCATTATTTGCAGAATAATCAAAGCGATTCCAATTACGTATTTCACTCTGTACATATCTATATTGCACTCATAATGAAAAAAGATATGTCAGATTTTTTTTTTTTTTAGAAGCGAATATAATTAATAGATATAGAAGATAATATATTGAGGACAACAAAAACATTTTTACATCCCTCCCCTATAAAAAGAACAATAATAATAATAACGAATTACAATGTTGAATGATGTATGATTGAAAATGAAAAACGAAGACAATAGAAATTTAGACACAAAAAAATGATCGCGCCTAAACATACCTATTGTGGTTTAGTGTTGTACGTTTGTATAAATTCGTTGAAGCTAAAATGATCCAAGTTGAGATTTTCGTCGATCGAAGACAGCTCAGCATGGCCCATCAGCTCCACATAGTCCATGTCCGAATTTGTTCGCCCAACACTTGACTGGCCAAGGCCCGGAGCGTAGCTACCACAAATTAAAACACAACTCCAATCACTGGCATAATGAACAAAAGACTCGTAAATCCAAATATATTATACATGGTACGAAACCAATTCAATCTAACTTTGTTCTTTCCTGTCCTCCTTTTTTCTCCTCTCTTAATCCTAATATTTTAAAGTATTTAATTTGTTGCTCGAATCTTTTAGAACGAGTCTATCCATCTGTTTCAAACGAAACGTGTGACCGATTAGCCGGATAGCCGGTACAACACGGCAAAGGAAATACGAACAACCACAAAAAATCCCCAACCTAATCGAAATTGATCGGTCACTTAAGAGTCATCTGCGATGCCTCTAGTTTATTACAAAAAAAAGTACGGTCTATTTAGATGAATTCTTATAAAAATTCTAGCCTTGGTCTCGTAATAATTTCGTAATAATGATTAAATATACTCGATTGCCAGTACTAAAATTATAATTATCATGGATTATGATTGGAGTTGTGTTTATTTTTTCAGGAGTTCAGCATTTAAACATTATATGTTTGATTTTCCGTTGTTGTGGTTGTACCGGCTTGCTCCAGGCCTATGCCTTCGATTTTTTAAAAATTTTCTATTATATATTATTTTTGCATATGTGTAACACTTTTATTCTCTTTCGTATAAATTTAGTATATATAAATAGATGCATACGTGCATACACACACGCATACACACACATCACGTACATGTATATACCCATTATGTGTTTGTGTGTGTTCATACATACATGAATGTGTACGCGTATACATGTAAGAATACATATTTATACATACGGATATTTGCACCAATTTTTGACTTTTATTTTTATATTGCCATGGATAAGCCGTTTCTCTTTAGGCAGAGACAGACAGAGAGAGAGAGAGAGAGAGAGAGAGAGAGAGAGAGAGAGAGAGAGAGAGAGAGAGAGAGAGAGAGAGAGAGAGAGAGAGAGAGAGAGAGAGAGAGAGAGAGAGAGAG